AGCGATCGCTTCTTACAGGGGTGGTCTAAAAAATCGATACTTCCATTACTAACTTCTTCGCTTACAGCAGAAACTATCCGAGAGACAGTGGATTGTGATATGCATAAAACATCACTAAGATGGATCTTATCAAAGCCCTGTCTCAGACGACACAAAAATAAAAACAGTTCATCAGCCTGTGGAAGCGATCGCTTCTTACAGGGGTGGTCTAAAAAATCGCTACTTCCATTACTAACTTCTTCGCTTACAGCAGACCATAGTGTTAAAAGCACAGTCCAACAATATGTTGAAAAAGTCAATCAATAAACAATAAGAACTAAAGCCAGTATAATATTTAATCATGGAGCTTGACGCCTTGAAACGTTCCATACCGAATTTAGATATTGACAGCTTTGAAACTGTTTTTAAATTCTCAATTTCTTTCAAAGCTTGCTCAAGTTTTTCTTCAGCTGTTTTCACTACAATGCAGTAGTTGTGAACCACTTGAGTAGGATTAGTGTGATTAAAACACAGACTGCTGGTCCGACTGCTTGGTACAGTGGCATCAGTGGTTCTGAACAAATATAATGAAATTCATTAGCAAAGAAATCACATATTCATCCTGGGAAAAGGAAGGATGATAAGACGGCTCAATTATATGACGAACCAGATATCGTGAAAAGTCATATTGTACCCAAATTACTGCTTCAAGTATTGAATCCTCTGCATTGCATGTATATGTGTAAATCAAAAACAAAATTGTATTTTTGCGCGTTTCAGTGTTGCTGAAAGTTTGTGTACTCACAAAAAGATTTGAGTCATTTTTTCCAAATGAGTTGAATCTGGACCAGGGTGGTCCAAACCCAGGCCCGACGCTCCATTATCTGTGGCCCGCATCACATTCGGAGAGAATCAAAAAATCGCATTTCGTAATAAAATTAATCAGAAAGATATTTTTACATATCGTTACATCTCTAATGGCACTGAATTGACTAGTGTTATGGCTAGCTGTGAGGCAACTAGCGAAGTTAAATGATGTGCTTGGTAGTCTAAATTAGTATCTGGCTTTCCATCTTTTTGGTCGAGAATATACGCTAACAATATAGGCATCATAGAAAACTAAGAATCGAATGCGGATTCTATTAGCCAGAGCAGGCTATGTCTTATGACTATGTGTTTGCACAATAAAGTGTTTGTTTTGTATTGCACTGTTTACCTATTCTTGGCACTATTGTGGCCCGCGAACAAGGAAAAAATTATTTTGTGGCCCGCGGAGCCGACAATGTTGGACTACCCTGATATTCTAGACTTTGGGTCAAAATTTTTTTTCAAATTGGTTAATTTAAAATTTTGGTTTGATACTAGTATGGTGGTATAGTCTAACTTAAAAAATGATATATTCTGTTTTACCTCAGTCTATTTGGCAGTGGTCTCTCTGCAATTAACTTTGTCCAACTAAATTTTGATGGAACTGAGTTGTGGTGCAAACGGCGTCGACCAGAAGGCGTCTCATAAATGTCTTCGGGTCTGAAATGGTTGCCGCAAACTCGCGTGCTTGGTGTAATCTGTTTTAATAAGTCAATATAAACTAGCTGATATGAACTGAATAAATAACACCAACTAAAGTGAAGCTAGGCTTCAAGGAATCAATTTATGCCCACCTAATAATAATATAGGTTATTAAGTTTAGCTTGATTCCCATAATCAGTACACCAGGAAGATACCGGTATTGACAAAATAAACACTTAGTCTATTAGTCTACAGAATCAGGAGAGCCCCAACTAAGATTTGAAAAGAGCAGAAGTTAAATTAATTTAATTAAGTGATTCAAGAGTCTTGCTGCACACTAAGACTCACTGCAAGACTCTTGAATCACTTAGGACTGTGGGATAGTTATCTTTACTCTTGCTACAGCAACCTTGCATTGTATGCATACCGGCACAAAAGCATGGAAGAAGGATAAGTAGTTAGTCTCGTAGAAACCAAATCATTAGTTAAATTATTGTTGCTAAAACTGTAAAAGAAAGTCGTGGACTGTGCTCACCTTAAATACACTCACATATAGCCTACAACCGCATAGATAGAGCCTAATAACTAAAGTAGAAGCGAGAAGAGAAAATCAGGGTCAAAACTAAAATTAAAACCAGAAGAAAAAAATATTTGCCACAAAATACTGACTTACTTGAAAATGTTTACCAGGATCGCGACGAATACTGTGAATCCACGCTCTCTTCATTTTTGGGGAAAGAGTGGAACGATAAGTCTGGTGAGTAACGGCTATCGCCATTACAACGGTACAACGGTACGCAGCAATGCAATTTGGAACCACCAGACGCACGAGCCGCCATTGCAATCGAAAAGCCCAAACCAGTCCAACGTCGCGGGGAAGCAGAAGACAGTACTTTCCCGCGCATGCCCACATAAAAACAAAATGGCGACGCTCAGCGGCGTAAATGAATACCCTCCATTAATAGCGTGTGGCTTAGGCTTATCGCCATGTAAGCCACAGTTGCGCACTTGCTCCACATAGTGGATTGGAATATGAGATGGAAAGAGAGCTATATAGATAATATTGAATAGGCTGTAGTGTAGATGTAATTGTTATGATAATATTGTTTTGTGTGGGTAGAGCAAGACTGCAAGGCCAATTAAACTTGTCAGAGCTTTCGGCTCGTTAGGTTCCCCGTTGTTTTGCCACATTGTTCTTGCGCATTTCAAGCTATGGTAAATTGTTTCAGTCAAACCTGAAATTAACAAAAATATTTTTGAGCTAATTTAACGTGAAATTATTGTAAAGAGTACGCCTCCGTATCGCGGGCTCCAAGCGTTGGAAATACGCTCGCCCCCGCAGCTCTGATTATTCTGTATGGGTTCGCTACCGTGCCTATTCTGGTTAGTCTTCTGTAATAGAAAAAATTCTGCGGCCCTTTTTTTGCATCAGAACCCTAGTTCTGTATCACATAACTTGGTACGAATTTGGGTACAAAGCTCAAACAATTATACAGCCAAACCTAAATATATATATCCCGTAGAAAACCAGACAACCTTACAACATCTATTCCCTTTTACACCATACACTAACCTGCTCTGAAAATATCACTGATACCGGTACCATACTCGCTCCCATACCATTCGCTGGTTTAGTTGCAATCGCAAGAAAACACAAGAGAGCTACGCACAAATATATGGACACGTTAGACCAGAGCGAATCAGTCCTTACCGGTACCTTTGACGCTACCGGTACCCTCAAAAAAGTTCTGAATTTCCAGTAGCAAGAATTTTGCAGAATCAAAACGTACAGCCAGTCATGACACTGACTAAAATCCGTGTTCCCAGGATAAAAAATAATACAGCAAAATTTTAGACGAAATATCAAATTTCATAGAATTCACGCAAAATTTTGAAATAATTAAAAGTAATAGCCTTCTAGCAAAAAAATTAATCTTAACCACTGAAAATTTCAAAGCAATTGGTCCAGTATTCGAAGAGAAAAGCGACTTTCCAAAAAGTGTCAAAGAACAAGAACAACAACAACATAATATTGAAACGATCGTTAGGCCACTAAACGTGTCCAATAACATGGGATTTACATATTTATCCCGGGAGAGAGGAAAGCCGATAAGACAGCTTAACCGTATGGCGAACCACGGCCTCTCGTCTGATTGCCATTCCATGTCGGGTATGGGATTAGTTAGTTATTTGTTTTCGGAAGCATGGACTTGATAGTGGAGGAAGCCGTAACCGACCAGCGGTTACGTGATTCACCCTACGACGGCAAGGAGTCCAGGAATCCTCTCAAACAAAACTATCACCGCATGCGATTCGAACCTGCGAACCCACACAGAGTATTTTGGATAAAACATACTTTCGCCTCCAATGCCGTATCTCCATGCTTAGATCTCTGTTATCTACGACGTGCTATAGTCAGTCGGCGTATTTCCGGCCTTGCGGCTCTGTTATCTTCTTGTTAAAGTTGGATAAGATATCTCCAATCTTATGACTCTATTATCTTGTGTTTGTTGAAGAGAAAGGCGTTTTCATCTCGAACGCATAAATGCACGAGGTGAGAACCGTAGTGCAGTAGTTGTTCATAGAAAACATGCAACACTAGTTGAACGCGAGTTACGGTAAAGCTAATGAAAAGAGAGGGATAGATTTTGTTATTGTCAGAAAAGCACATTTATTCATATATCTTCATAGAATTAACGGCAATGCAGGAGGCAATGAACAATGGTGAGAAATGCGATGCATTTAAAGACTTTGCGATCAGGGCTATAGAAACGGAGAATTTACTATCCACAACGACTCCGCTGTTTATTTTGGCTTCAGACACCGTACTGTGAAAGATTTGGACTACCTCAAAACTGCAATAAAACTATATCTGATATGAGAAAAAAAAACAAAAAACGGTGGCATATGTAAGCCATCTTTGATAACTTTATATACCGTATTAAAATATCTAAGTCCTTTAAAATATCATTTGTAAAATATGCAGATTGCAGATATGGTATAACAATCAAAATAGTGTTCTCCCGTGGTATATAGTAGGGTTTAAGTAGTCAAATTTGAGAAGGGATTTTCGAATACAAAGAATTCCTGCTGCAAATCCTCGAGTTTTCAGATATTAAGCATCCACGAAATCCTATTTTTCAGAGATATGTCACATGCAAGCTTTTTTGTGCAACACTGATTGCGTCGCAGTCAGATAATTGTGATTTCATATATGAAGTTCATCAATAATAACAGTACTGTACTCCGATAATCAAAAATGTTACATCTTGAATCTCGGATGTGGCTGCTTGATAACCAGTGTTGGTTCCCCGGCTTCCCTTTCTCAGTGAAATGTGTATTCAATACTATTCTTTTACAATTTGCATGTTTTATAATGGGCGAAAAAAAATAAACTTGTCAATGACCAATCTCGCTTAAATTTTTTCCATTGATCTTGCATCAGCTTAGATTACGGTGGTGTTCTGATCTGATTAAAAATAGTTTAGAGAGTCTAGAAGAAAATATTGATTAATTTACAACAGACTTAATATTTTATCATTATTTTTTCACTATTTTCAGAGATACCATCCCAAATAATATGACAAGAGTTTATACAGTTGTATATATATAAGCGCCTCCTGACGAAGCTGTTCAGATTATAACCATACAAATCGCTTTTTACTAGTTGTGTATATGAAGTGGTTTATATGTTCAGCAGTATCTAAATCGACAAGGTCATTTTCATGGATATGAGCGGAACATACTCTGCAACAACAAGTAATATTAAAGAGCCACCAGGAATGAATAAATTCAAAAGACCATACTCGTGTGAGATATGTGGCAAGTGTTTTATGCGGCCCAGTCATCTGAGTAGGCACGTACGAATTCATACAGGAGACAAACCATATTTCTGTAAAATATGTGCAAAGCGCTTCACACGCTCAAGTGCTGTAAAAAATCATATGAGAACACATACTGGAGAAAAGCCATACTCTTGTGAGACATGTGGCAAATGTTTCGCTCAAGCTAGTTATTTAGATGTCCATGTGCGTATTCATACAAGAGAAAAGCCACATTTTTGCACAGTTTGTGGAAAATGCTTTACGTCTCAGGCGACTTTGTTTACACATATGCGTATTCATACCGGTGATAAACCGCACTCTTGTGAAAAATGCGGAAAAAGCTTTGCACAATCAAGTAGTTTAACAAGCCATTTGCGTATTCATACTGGAGAGAGGCCGTATTCATGTAAAATATGTGACAGAGGCTTTACACAATCAAGTTCTTTAAATAACCATATCAGAACGCATACTGGGGAAAAGCCATATTCTTGTGAGAAATGTGGAAAATGTTTCACGCAATCCGGCAATTTGAAGTGTCATATGAGAACTCATAATGAAGAGAGGCCACATTCTTGCAAAATATGTGGAAAAAATTTTGCTCAGTCCTCTACATTGTCGAAGCATTTTAAAATACATGGTAGAAAAACGACTTAGGGATGCAGAATTGTCAATTTTAATCTAGTACTCTAAAATGGAGTATACCAACCCATGCTTGTGAACACTTTCATTTTGGAAACAAACTGTGGATATTTGAAACTGGACCATTGACAGTGTGTTTTGTCAGAATAAAGTCAGAAGTTAATATATATTGATTGAGTGTTTATTTTAATCGCAATAGATAAAAACAAATGACATGTTAACAGTTCAGAAGTATTCTTTAATTTAATTCTTTCCAGATAACACCAGATTTTAGGTTATTTCCTATCATCTTAAGTATTAATAGAATATATACTTTGTTTCAAATATTTTGTGTTATATCACATTTGATTTAGTTCTTTAATTATGTCACTGGAATTAGATCTCCTGTCTGTTTTATAATATTAAAATCTTGTTTCCTTCGTTGTCAAATAAACTGATTGATGATTTGTTTTTCTTTTGTTTGAATTTTATTATTTGCGATTAAATTGAAATTTTATCGCTCGTTAGCATTTTGATTTTTTTTTAAATATTTAAATTCTCAAACTTTTTGCTTGTCAGTTTTGATTTTGTTGTTATAATGCCAGATCATATGTCATTTGTTGTGTTGCTCATTTTATTTTTATGGCACATTTATTTACCTCGATACAAACAACCGTTATGTCCGGGGACACTGGACTGTTTTTACACTGGAGGATTTGCCTGTTTTTATTACCTGATATTTTTTGATCAATAAATAGACGTTTGAAACATTTGTGTATTATCTTTGTAAATACTGCTGCGACTCATTGGCCTGTTCTTCTTTTTGGGGAAATAAAAGAAACACTGAGCAAAAAGAAAAAATTGTTTCGGCTATATTCTATATTCGGCCTGGGCAAAAATTTCAGAACATATATCCAAATGCTCTCATAACTAGACATGGGTTACCTGGAATGCATTCCTATTGGATAAATCCATACAACCTTCGTGAGATATTGGCTGTCTTATTAATGACTTTGCTAGTATATAGAATTTCGTTCCTATTTTGCGTGAAAATCAAATGAGCATAAAAATTCTTCTTTCAAGCAGCACATATCTGCTAAACCGAAACACATCCATTATAATCATATTAATCATCTGGTGCATTCGATTCCCCAATCAAGTATGGTGACGAAATCAAAATAATTTGAACAATTGTTTAATATTGACCAAATAGCTAATGTGAGTGAAATACGTAAACGAGGGAAACCAACAATCGCTATTTGTCGAGTGCGACGGTCTTCCGTATTTCACCATGCGAGCCGCTATGGACAATGCATGGCGATTCCCTTTCTGCAAACAGGCGATATACGGGAGAGGAGCATCCACCCAACAGTAATCAGTAGTTTATTTTCTCATCATACTGAATGCACACTTGATATACAAATTGCAATAAATAAATAAAAGGCATTTCACGGTGAGCCGCGAGAAACCAAATTTGGTTATCGAGCAGCGGCACCCATAAGCAAGTCTAACAAGAAAATAATACCAAAAAAAAGTCGAATTGTGTATATACAGTATCATATATACATTAATTTGAAAATAAATATAAATACGTCAAGGCATTCCAACCAGGTATGCCCAGTAATCTCGCGTTTCAACAACAACAAAACAAGAAACGACTCCGTGCACCAATAATCTAAGTAGCCATGACGATAGCTGCTTTGAGGTAAAGTCACAATGGTACCATTGTGAGGTGACTGTGGTCGTAGGTAGAACATTGTATGGTGCAGGGCTACAGTTGTTTAGCTATCAATGGTAAAAATGAAGTTTAACGAACAGGAAGCCTACCAGTAGTAAGGTATGCATGCAACGATAGTACCGGTAGTCATAAATAAGTTAACCTTTTATGGTAAGAAGAAAATTGAACTGCAGTGTGTAACTGGAAGGCACATGATCAATGAATAAATGGTATTCTACAAGATCAAGGTAGGATTAAATTTCATGTGGAACTAACCACTTCATACAGAACATGGAAAAAGCAAAGGTAGGTAGAATGATAAAAATCTAATATGGTTTAACATCAAATGATAGTGATGACATAGTCCGGTCGAATCGGGCCTTAACATTGTTTTGGGACATAAAGTTTTTTTTATTGTTTAGACATAATGTCGATAACATAAATAATGATACCCAGGTGGGTGTGGAATATATAATGTTGAGCAATTTTTTTTAAGTGGATTTTAAGTATTCGTACAAAGATGACGCACATCCTGAAGCGTAATACAATCCAAGATCCATCGACAGCATCTAGACACTTTTTTTTGCGCTCTTCAAACTACATTTGCTTTGCCGCGGGCATTTCGTTTTCCTACTTCAAGCTTAGGGACTTGGGAAATATTTTATTAGCTAGAATTGGATTGGAATATTTGACCTCGCCTTCCACTCCGAACAAGGCCATGTAAAACCATCGACTGGTATCTAACGATGTGTAACGTGTTTTCTTTTGAAGGAAACGGAACCTTTCAGGTGCAGCATTGACTTTGGCAAAATTAATATATCCTTGTGGAGATAGAAGGTATGCGTATGCGAAACCAAGATGTGCACCTGTTATGCCAACATAGTTCAGTCAAACATTTTGAACACTAGGACATCACACACATTTTCCTGCGTGCTTCCGTTGTAAGTAGTAACGCGCACATGCATCAAATTCCACTTGTTTATTAGGCTATAGGTTTTTGACGAGCTTTTGTGTATGATTTCATTCCATAGAATTTGTATGCTGCTGACTGCTCTAATGAATACTAGTTTCAGGTTTTTCATTCATTCAGACCGTGTTTTGAAAATAAGTTTTGTAATATTGCGTGTTAGTTTCCAACATCCTTAAATCGGGGATGCCAGTAAATCTTTAATACAAAAAGACCAGTATCATCTGCAATAAAACAGCAGTACCCACTCAAATGACTGCTGGATACTCTGAGTATCTGCTCCATCGCGTGCCTCTTACCAGTTTACATGAGTGCCAATTGGTATCTAAGCTCAGCCAGAGACAAAACGTTTCGGACTGCGGTTGGTGTGACAAAATGTTTTTAAATATATATTCTACAATAAGATTATTTGATTGCATACTACTGAAAGTTACACCTTATATGTCTTTTCCCATTGCGCTATCCCTTTACTGATATTCGATAATATGACGCTCATCTGACATAGTTCTTCAAGTGTGTAGATAGGTATAATCTATTCCATGCTGTTCAGATGGGAATGCGCGAATATATGTAAGAATCGCTAATATTTGTTTGCAATGCGATGAAATCCCATATTGGCATTTCTGCCTCTCGCAATTGCTGTATACTTATCGGAGAAGTTCTGTGGCGTAGTTATCGAGTGAAAATAAATCAGTCATACATAATTTATTAGTCATCACAATATAAGCACTTCAAGAAAAATATGACATACATATAACCAACAACAAATAATACCTTAATTGTTTGACAGGAGTCGCGAGGGACCTCGAAAGGATTCAAGCAGCGACACCTACAACGCTGATTCAGATTAGCGAATAAATTTTATGTAATAAGGATGCTACTAATTAATAATAATTATAATTGTTTTCGAACTATAAGAAAACGAAGCACCAACACAGTTTGATAATATACGTATATAACAATTTTGGAAAACCAGAAAAAAAAACATGGGGAGTATTTTTTCTACTTCTCTAATACTATCAAACCTTGACATTTTGTGAAAACTTTTTTCCATTCAACCTTTTTTTGAAACATCCCCAACAACCACAATTAGTTCTGTTATTAAACTTCCGAAACAAACACATAAAATCATCAACAGATGCATATCTCCGAGTAGATATTGCTGAATTGGTCTTGGTCTTTATTTTACCATTTTTCGGGTAATTCTTTATGGTAAACCCTTTTATCCATAGTAAATACAGCACATTTGACAATGTTGTAGTGTAATTTTTTGACCTCACATTTTTGATATTTGTAGTTGGAGTTCCTGGGGCTCTGTCAAACAAAGTTAAGTACAATATGTTGGTTGTAAATTGCAAAACATGATCATGTTGTTGGAATAACTAGGCATTTTAGCACCCGTATATCATTCATTGTCGAGAATATTAATGAAATCTAAAAATCTGTTTTCGTGAATTTTTTGTTGTAGCTGAATTCGAGGGACAGCATGACAACAGGCAAGCGAAGCACGGTCGCCTCTTTTAGTTTATGACAGGGGACCCCGGCCTCCTTGGACGCCGCTGATCGGTTATCTGGGAGCACGAACAAACAGATGGAAATTCCAATATATATTTACAATCAATTTTTATACAAGAGAAGAAGCAAAAGTGTTGATTGGGAGTCTTTGGTAGTTTGAAAAGCATTGGCATGGAACAAAAGAATGAACTACATTCTTTCCCAGGGATAAACTACAAAATGTGGCAATTTTCTCATTCTTGTTCTGGTGATAGCATTATCTTTCACTGCATCGTCATAATCATCCGGCTGCATAACAATTCTTGCTAACAAATAATTGACTGTTCTCCACCGGGTGTATATCCACTTGAACCACCGGCGACTGCATTAGCAGGCTTGTATTATTTATTGCAACAAAAGCGGATATTTTGAAATAGTACTCTTTATCTTACGCGTATGTTTCAACAGTTTTCCCATATATATGGATTGCGACCCAAAGCTGGGCTCAACAAATACCTCAAATCAATTATTTCTTTCACCTGCAACAACAAACTGAAATGGTGAAATGAATATCTTTATATCTAACTTGCACTGGTGTGATCTGTAAGTAAAATCCCATTATAACCAAGTATGCTAAAAATTAATCTTCAATAAACATATCATATTTTCTCAGTATGAATATTCACAAAGAGAATGGATTCATATTATCAAAATTTCAAAATATAAGACTGTTTATCATTAATTCCGCTAGCATATTGCGGATTTGTAATAACGGCAAAATGCGAACTGACGATGGAGTGGGATTCAGCCGGTTCGCACCGGTTCCATAAAACCGTCTCATGGAATTTTATGAGATCAGCGAACCGGTTAGCATTACTAAAAAAACATGACTTTTTGTAACAGAACCGGCTGAAAAATATGACATTTGTGTGATGGAACCGGCTGACAAAAAATTTGAATCTCACCACTGAAGTTACCCTGCTGGAGCAAAACGGACAAACCCCGCTTTACCATATTCTGTGAAATTTACAACAAGCGATACTTAGGTATGGCATTAACCTTAATAGACTCACTTTTTTAATTTGCAATAGTGTTTTGGTCGCAGCGTACCGGTTCCATACGGTATTATAACAGCGCGAATGTGATTTTAACTGACACTAACAGAACAATACCGGTACTCATTGACGTTGAAGTGAGTAGCCAAATAAAATTTGTTATTAAACCAGGCCAAGTACTCATTGAATTTTGCATTTAACTTATACCGGTACTGTGAAATGCTTATGACACTCTCGTACCGGTACTGTTTGTTTATTTTCTGTCTGGTTTCCGTCTAGTAACGCTTGGTCTCCAACAACTCTCTTTCACTCAAAGCAAACGAGCTTTCCAGTCACCCAAGCTCTTTCTGGGGGGAGATGACCTTATGGTCGTATCGCTCCCCCCAGTCTATACCGAATTAACCTTGTGTATATTGTATATTTTTTTTTTCGCATTCCATTGTTTTTTCTGGTTGACAAAACAACAAATCCCTCTCTCTCTATCATTAGTTCAATCAATTCGGTCTGCTCAGTCGGAGAATCCCCTTTTAGCATCAA